AAGAGTGGAAAGAATCTCTGAGCTCATTGTCACAATGACTCTGAAGACAGACAGAGGCACAATTGAGATTGTCAATGTCTACTCTAGACTGTCAGAAAGCTACTGAGCAGTATCAGAGGATTCTCCAATATACAAGCTGTAAGAGATAATAAGCAACATGAAGGAAATGCTTGTGACATACAGTCAATAATCAGATACATGATTAGCTGAACTGATAATGCTGAAGAACTTCAATGTACATCACCATCAATAGAGAGGTGATAAAGTCCGGCGGAACTTCAATATAACATGGGAGCTCATAGCGCAGATGGATGCTTTAAGTCTTCAACTGACTATCTGTGAGGGGTGATGACAGTGTGAAGAGTGAATAGTAGAAGATAGTATATAGTGTAGTGGAAGATAATAATAATTATAGTAGTAGTATAGTTGAAGTTGTAGTGGTAGTTGTAGTTGTAGTTGTAGTTGTAGTTGTAGCTAATCGCTGAAGAGGAAAAGAAAGAGAAAGAAGATGTGCGAAATACATACATCCATATATATATACATATAGAAATAGTGGTAGCGAGAGTATAATGGAAAGAGGTAAGAATAGACGAAGATATAAACAAAGATAATATAATAATAAGGAAATAATAAACGAGTGCATTACACTATCTCAGTGGAGGAGATTATCTGACAGAAGAGAGGAAGTACAGACATTACATTAAATTTGATATTTTTATCATCAGAGCTGTATAAGCAGCTTCTCACATGCAAGGTGAATGCAGAATCAGACATGGCTTCAAATCATTTCCCAATAACTACAATCATTTCATTTAAAACATCTCATCAACAAAAAAAAAAGCTAACATGGAAACACATTCAGATAAAACAAGTGATCAAGAACTGTGAAAAGCTGAAAAACTCAGAAAATCTGATATTCATACAGTAGATAAATGAGTATACTGACTATCTGATGAACTTTCTGTCTTTCTTCTGATGTTAGAAGCACCGACAGCTTTCTGATCAACTGAGAGAGGTATCCCTCTCTGCTCACTATAAAGCCTTCCAGGCACGGCAGCGGCGGTCCCCTCAGGGAACCACACTATAGCCCCACCATGAATGGCCATACGTCGGGCCAGAAGTGGATGCGCAGCTCAGGAAAATCCTTTGCAATGAGCTGAGTCTTCTCAAGAGTTGCCACCTGGATTCTGTTTTTTCTCTCTCTCTGTGTACATAGAAATCTCTCCAGCGTAGCACGTCTCCATGCCCTTCGGGAGGCTTCTGAAACACGGGCGCTGCCCGTGTTTTCTCCGGGACGTTAAACCTATACATACATACATACATCTACATTTACTCATCTCTGTTATTGTATTTCACATTTATATAATCTTTAATAATTCTTCTGTGTAACCTTTTCTGCTTCATATTTCACATTTATATAATTTTAATAATTTTTTCATGTAATTTTTAATGTTCTTCTGCTCCATGCTTCATTATGAAATAGTTTCTGATATTTTTTCATTTTGATTTTCTTTGTATAAAAACTCTTTTTATATGATCTTTTTTTTTGATCTTTTTTCTCTTTCTTTTCTTAATCAATTTATAATCTGTATTTAGAATAGTGCTAGATCGTTAATCGAAGTACGCTCATTACATTATTAAATCAAATGATCAAATATCATCTTCACATATATTGCAAATATCAGTAAAATAATTAAATATAATGAATTTCTCTGACACAATAAATATATAATAATACTTTTCACACATTAATTAAAATAACATTATCTGAAGCAATGATCCGCTGATCAATTGAACTTCATTATAATATCAAATATTTTAAAAGAAATCTTTTAAACAATAAATTTAAAAGTAATTATTAAAAAATATATTGCAATATCAATATTAAAAGTCATTTTGATAAGCAATTTAATGAGAAAAAATATCATGTACAGATTTGAACATATTTATGATGGAGCAGATTTGTGGGAAATTCAAATTGATGGTGTTATATAATGCCTTGACGGGCAAGAACTTCTGACATGAACCTTTGTATAAAAACCCATTTGACACATTTGTCACTATAGGCTGCCGTAGTAACGTTTAGGAATGGTTGGTTCCTTGTGGCGCTAAGCACAGCTGGCGCTTCATCATGTTTTTGACGCGGTCAACAACGCGGTAACCTCAAAAACTCTGGTTTATCAGTTCAGTTTCTTCTGATATTGCTCAGCCTTTTTCTTTTCTTTTCTTTACTTTTCTTTTTTTTTGAGAAATTTTACATTAGACTCGTTTTTGCTTTCTAAAAATTCTTTCCCTTTTAGCTTCTGGACATCCCTCCATGGCCTCAACTGTGAAAAGACATCGGCAGAACACGGAAGGAGACGCTCCGCGATATAAAAAGACCAGAACGGACAACAGTTCGGTCACGTCACCTGAGACCAGCACTATAATAGGGGCCTCTTTTTCTGCCTCTGAGAAGAAAATCGACTCCAACGGCGATTTCTACTGGAATATCTCGCGTCTCCGTCGGCTGACGGTTTCCTCCTTCAAAGGCCGTATCCTGGTCAGCGTGAGAGAGTACTATGAAAAGGATGGACAAGAACTCCCGGGTAAAAAGGTTAGATTTGTACTACGCTTTACATCCTATTTATCCCCAGAATTGCAGTCATGGGAAACCTAGTTTCGCATCTGCTAACACTGGTCTTCAGGGGATATCAATGCCTTTGGATCAGTTTAATACTCTGATCCAATTAATACCCAATGTTGAAACGGCTATTAAAGAGAAAGGCGGATCTCTGGATAGACCGAATTATGTTGACGGTGAAAACAAGGAGTTCTCCAGGAGTAACCCAGCGCAAGAAAGTTCGGGCTCGGAGTCTGACAAATCTGAAGATAATTAGCATGGACTTCTTCTTGCATGTTTTGATTTATCCTTTCATGTGTACTATTTCATCGTAATCTAATGTATACAACGTACGGCAGGTGCCCCCTTTTTTCTTAGGCTCGGTTGTTGCACTTGGTGTTTTTATGACATATCAAAAAGGAAAGATTTAACTTCATTTAATTTTTCTAAGTCTAACTATGCTCTGTTTTTCCAACTGGTACAGTATCAGCCAACTGCTTGGGTTCAAGGTGATCATCACCCGAGTGCCGTTTTGCAAGTAACCATTTTAAGATCATGTGCTCGTCTCCCGTGTCTCTATGCGGCTGGCTACATACCCTCCTTTTTTGGGTTCTGTTTTCGTCCCCAACCTTACCCTACCCACCTCTCCCAAGGGTTTTTACAACTATGCGGTCTCCAGGATAGATCTTCGCAGTATTCTTCGCTCCTGGGTTTATTTCCTTGACGTTCCATTTGCCTGGCTGCCCTCGAATTGGTGTCCTCCTCATCCAAATGTTCAGTACACATTGGCCATCCTCACCTCCATTGAAACCATGTGAGTGGTACACCCTGCGCTCTGAGAGAATGGATACTTGTACTGGAATTCGAAAGTCGATATCCCGGATCACGCCATCTCCACCCTGGTGCTGACCGTTCCCACCAGACCCCGGTCCCAAACAGAACTCTCTTATTAATACGGGATGCCTTCGTTCAAACACTTCAGAATCCGTAATATGAGTGTTAGTCATATGAGTGTGGACTCCTGAGGTCCCTTCCCAGTCTGGCCCAGCACTACTCTCACCAGCGATTGTTTCGTAATACCCAAGGTCCTTCGATTATTTTTCTCCCGAAATCATTCCCGCTATATACAATCACTAATTTGTTTGTAGGCCCTGGGAAACAGCGCAAGTTTTGAAAGCATTTTAAAATCACGTCGGTCACTCAGATGAGGATAGAAAACTATTTTTTGGGATTCGCACATTGATGAGCTTGAGACACCCTTGGTTTAATAGAATATCTTCAGATATTAGACACCGTAAGCAGCAAATAATGGCAGGGTAAGTAACAGCTTCCGGTGCATTGATATTCCCTGTAATTCAAATAAGTATCTTACTCCATAACAGAAATTAACTTGGAAATTGGAAACGACCATAGGCTTCAGAGCTGGTGCCTTCAAAATCGAAAATTGCTTCACACTTCTCCGCATCGATGGATATCTTCAGACGAACTGGGCTTCCATCCGTGTAGTCGACAGCCACAAGATCTGCCCTACGAGTTTTTTTACTAACGGACTTCAAGAGACGTCTTACGCTAAGTTCCACATTATCTTGAATGTTATTCATGTAGAATTGAGCAGTACCTTCCCCTCTCTCATTTAAATTTATTATCTTCTTTCATAATGATGAATGACTGTCAGTTGAAGATTCTCTGTAAGGGAAATGAATTCTCAATCATGAATCAGAGCAGATTTGTATGAAAAATGTTGTGAATGTTAGATAAAATGTTGAATTGATAATTGTGTATACTCAGAACCTCTGTTACAGTATACTTGATATGATGATAATCTAATATATATAAGAGATAGTTCATTTTTATATTCTTGAAATTTAATCAAATTTTATCTTTTATATAATATTACATTGCAGAACTTTTTCTGATATTTATTTGATTCTCATAATTTTGCTGAATGCTGATCATGCTCATTTATAAACCTTTTTAAACTTGTTCATAACATTCTCTGCTGTTTATATGAGGTTGTAAGTGTATGTAATTTCTTAGAGATTTTCAGAGATGTTCAAAACTTCTAAATTATATCTATACAGAAGAAAAAATAAGGTTATATTTATTATAATAGAATTTCAATCATTAGTTGCAATCTCAATATATGGTAAAAGATGGCTTCAATTGACTTGTGTATAATTGCAGAATTTGTAAAGAATGTTTTTTACTGATTGTATCATTCTCTCTATAACTTCATCAATCTCTGAATGATACATTGTTGATAATTTTCATTCAATTTTTAGCAGCTGATATATATGGATTCAGAGTGTCCTGATGAATTAACTGTCTCTATTTGATATAATGAATGAAGACAGACTGTATATATGATAGAACAGGTTTCTGATAAAAGCATTCACAACTACTTTAGTATCTATCTTATCATAAAGCTGCAGTATTACACTCTTGCTGAGTTAGTTGACAATGATTAGAATATTTATAAAACCTCCACTTTCAGATAGAGAAACTATGAAGTTGATTGTTATATCACATCAGATTCATTCAGAAACAGGCAGAGGTTTCAACATTTCTTTTCATCATTCATATTATGCTGTTACTGAGCCACAGCAATTGCGATTGTGTACAAACTGACGTACATTCTTTGATATGTTCAATCAGTAGAAATCTTAAGCTATAATGCTGTATATAATTTCACAATTTAAATGCTCAATCATTAATGAGTTGTGGATTTTCTCCATGATTTGTGTTCATAGAGGTTTTGAATCAGAGACTTACTCACTGTCTATTTCAGAAATATAATCATTTATCATTATTGATCAAACATGCTGAGATGTTTATTTTTAAATATACATCTGCAGAGAATTGAAGTGCTCTGCTTTATATGATTTTAACAAGTTGTTGTCAGAGTTTATCTGCCTTTGTTACTTGCCTTCATTGTTCTTCAAGTGAGAGGGATTGAGTATGAAATTGATTAATGTGTATGTGAGATTCATTTAATTGCGTGAGACTTTCTATGATTGTGAGATTGATTAATTGATGCTCTCAATATTTCCATCTGATATTATTATTATTATTCATTTATTATAGATATATACAGTCAGTGACTATAACATCTATCTGAAATACTCTAGGATTTTTCAACTTAAGAATAAGTTAATATACAAAGTCAATCTAATACATGCAATAAGTAAAATTCCAGCTCAAAATCAAACAATTATTCAAACTATTCAATTTAAGAAAAAATGTCAAAAAAATGACAATAGATCAATACATTCAAGTTTAAAATAAATGAAATAAAAAGTATAAAAAACAGCAGCTATTAAAAGAAAAGAAAGCATTCACAAATCAAACTTTTCAAAACAAGTCAAAATCAAAAATAATCAAAATGAAATAAATATCAAAGTAAAAGTAACAAAATAAAAATAAAAACAAGAACAAAAATTAAAGCAAATACATAGAAATAAAAGAAAAAAAAAATAAAAATAAAAATTGAATTCATTATCAGATCAAGCTATTCAATTGAAATCTTGTAGCAATATTTGATTCTTTCAAATATTCAATCAAGAATTCATTTCCAGTTTTTGTATTGAACAAAAGTTTTAAATTTAACTGTGTCAATTCAAACTTTTCCGCTCAATCTCAATCTATAGTCCTGGTAGGCTTTGGTACAAAGGTAAAGTTATATGCTTCTGTAAATTATCATAAAA